CAGCGGCCCGATCGTGCGCTCGCAGACCTTCTCCCCCGGCGAGCGCAGCCAGTACGTCTGCCGGGTAAGGGCCGCCCGCCCCGCTACGGGCCGGCGCTGGGGGTGCTCCCCACGCCGCACGTAAACGCCACGCTCTTGGGGTTCTTTCCAGTTTGGATTTCGGGGTTTCCCCTCCCCCTAAATGTAATGCCTCATTGGCTCAAGCGCCATTTATTTGGCAAATCAGTGGAATTAGGGACCTGGCTGAGAAGTACATCTGGACTTCAGTCTCTATTCAGAAACTAAAGTGACGTGAGGTTCATCTTTGGTAGACCTCTGCTGAATATTATACACCGTGCTAGTCCTGCTGAACCAAAAACCGTGAATTGGGTTTTAGGATAAAAATTATCTTTTTATAATGGTTCTAGACACCAAATCAGAGTCATAGTTCTGTGGAGAATGGTTTTGGGATTCCCACCAGTTTACCCAATGCCATTTCCAGTAGTATTTGTGATTTATAGTAATATAGGTTTAATATTATAAAATGGGTTAGAAAATACTGTTGCAATGTATTCATTCAATTCAGCAAATGTTTTTAGTAAGCACCTGCTAGTAAACATGTTCCTGGATACTTGGGATTTGACTGTGAACTAGAGACCCAAGCTCTGCCCTTGCAGAACCCTGGCTCTTGTGACCAGTGGTGTGAAAACAAGGGGCTGGGAATGCTGAGGACAAGGTCGCAGATTTAAGTAGGGTTCAGAGTGGGCTTCATTGATAAGGTGACATTGCTGCAAAGACCTGGAGCCTGCGAGGGAGTGAGATCCATCTGTCTGGGCTCAGAGTTTTCTAGGTTGTCTAAACTGTGTCTTAACTCCAATTTTAAGCTCTGTACATCAGCCTTTCCTTTAAAAATGAATATTGCAGATTAGCTGAAATTACAAAGGATCATTTTAATTCAGAGTATGTATAATTATCCTAACACGTAACTTCTGATAACTGCCACTAAAAGGCAATTTTTTTAATTATTTATAAAAATTAAGTTATTTAAGGAAGCATGAACAGGGAAAAGCTTGTTTGGGAAAGGTTTTCTTTAAGAAATAAACTGTTGCCAGCTGGGCATAGCTCAGTGGTTGAGCATAGACCTAAGATCCAGGAGACCTTGGTTCAATTCCCACTCAGGGCACATGCCAGGGTTGCGGGCTCGATCCCCAGCAGGGAGTGTGCAGGAGGCAGCCGATCAGTGACTCTCTCATCATTGATGCTTCTATCTCTCTCTCTCCCCTCCCTCTCCTTTCTCTGAAATCAATGAAGATACTTTTTTTTAAAAAAAAGAAACTGTTCTCACCACCCACTTTATCTGATAAGCTCTCCTTTGTCAGCAGTGCTTTTCTCTTTTTTTACCCTTTATTACCAGTTAAATCGAAGTGACAGTGACAGCTCCACCCTGGCTAAGAAATCTCTGTTCGTGAGAAACTCCACTGAACGGCGCAGTCTGAGGGTCAAAAGGGTACGTATTCCCTCAGCACCAGCCCACTGTCCCTGACCCACCCGGAGTCGTGACTGCAGGGCGTAAACACTGACTGTTGGGCGTCATTGCTCCCTGCTCCTGGGCTCAGTGAAGCCGCTGTGATCACAGACACGAAAATGTCGTCAGTTGTGGAGATGGGGAGAGGATGCACTTGCGAGCGTTCGTTCACCCGGGTCTGGATCCTCGCTAGTTGAGGCAGGGGATCAACTGTGTGGTGTCGGTGGGGAAGGGGCGGCTGAGTAGGTGGCCGTGTCCCTCCTGAGGGCTGCGGCTTTTCCACACCATGTCTGGCTCCTGAGCAGTTGTGGGAAAAGCGTAACACCCAGTACCATCTCCAAGGGCGTGCATTTTGGTAAAGGACTCGTGGTTTTAGCAGCTTTGCTTAAAAATGGGTATTTTTAGAAGGTTAACTTTGATGTTGATGGGAAAGCTCAAGCCGAGTTCTGGAGGCCACAGGTCTCTGGGTGACCTTCAGAGGATAAATCTGAGAGAATGTTTAAATAAATTAAAAGGTAGGACAGTTCAAATAGTTCCGAAATTCCTGTTTACTTAACTGTGGCTGGAATACCGATGGGAGGTTATTTGTTCACGAATGCTGTGCTTCAGCGATCATTTGCTAGGCTGTGTTACTTCAGCCTCCAGCATGTGAAGTAAGCACGAGGCTCCGTGAGTGCTGAGCCCGCAGGTGAGGCGCGGCCTGCAGGTGCGTCCAGTCTGGAGGAGGCCTCAGGAGCACTCGGGGCTGTTAACGTGTGTGGGTCAGAGGCGGGCGTGAGTTCTGCTGCTGGGAGAATCGAAAGGCCTCGTGGGAGAGGACTGTGGCCTTGACTCCTGGATACAATTTCAAAAGAAAATGGTAGCTTTGTTGGGGGTGGGGGATGGATGCCAGGTGCTGTGGGTAAGTGAAGTGACACCGGGCAGGGCAGGGCAGGTAGGAAACACATTCAAGGGACAAGAGTGATCCAGCTTGGCCGGAGCTTAGGCTCTGTGGCTGAAGACTGGGAGCGAGGAGAGGAACGGTAAGCTAGTCGTCATCTATACTGGGGACCCTCTGGTTTAACGCTGCTGCATGTGAAGTCCTGGGTATATGACCAGGCAACGCTTGGATCCCCTGGTTTAACCTCCTAGTTACTTGACAGTGATAAGCACATTGCTTTTCTAAAGGTAAACAGACTACCATTACTTAACACCAGCATTTCCAGGGAATTTTGAGGCGTGGATCTTTCAGATTACTCGATCCTTTAAAAGCCCCTAAATTTACATGCTCTTGAATGAAGGTTCTTCTCAGTCCCTTATATGTCCCCTGCATTTTTAGGTAGCACATACTTTCAGAGGGTGGCAGCCCTCCTCAGAGAAGTTTTAACCAGAAGTGTTTACAAATTGAGTGAAGCTGGGTAACAGTTGGTCACTGATAAACTCAGTTATTAGAACCGGTTGAGCGAGACAGAGGTTAATCCTGAAACATGTAGGAGAAGATTGTTAAGCGGTTTTTAAAGTAGACAGCAGTTTGGTAGAAGAGACCGGGGAACGGTGTTCTGATTTAGGACTTACCTCATGAAAAAGGTGTAGCGGCATAAGAGAAAAGCATCTGCAGAGATGAGAAAAGGTTTACCTGGCTGGAAAAGCAAAGAGCCAGGCCCGAGGCACGAGGTCTGTGCGGGAGCCTCCTCACGCTCGCTCCTGAGAGCCCATGGTTCAGTCACATCACACTGACAGCTTGGAAACTGTTATGGCGGGAGTATTTACACCAAAGAAATGGGCCAACCCTACAGGTCGGTGAGCTCCTGTTAAACACTTGCCAGCCGGCCACCGTGCATTGGGGTCTTTAGAAAGGCTCCACGTGCGTGGCAGCCAGGAAGGCTATCTGATTGTGAAAAGCAAGTAATACGATCAAAGAGAGCATGTGTCTGGGTGGTTCTTCTGTGCAATGAGTGTGTGAGACCAGAGGCTGCATGAAGGGAACCTAATGCTCAGAATGTTACAGAATGTGAGAGACTTACAGCGGAATGTGTTAGGCAAGGAGACAATGAAAGCTATTCAGACATGGGCGAAGGCTCTGAACTAAGAAAAGGGGCACCAGGCCCCTCCCTTTCATCTGTCATGAGCACCCCATTGCTCCAGATGTTCAAGCTAGAATCTACTCAAGTTTGAGTCCCTTCCCTCTTGTATCAAACAGTCCCAGCTTTTATTAGTAATCTAGTTTCCACTCCCACTGCCGACATTGTAGGCAGGCAGTGCCCTCCTGTTCCTCTGCTTGTGCAGCCTTTCCCGGCCTCACTTACTCCCCTTTCCTCCAGCCAGCCTGGCCTAGGCTGAGCACCTCTCCCTCCCCTGACTTTCTGTGGCACAGACGTCGCTACTTCATAGTGTCTCCTACATTCTCTAACCACAGTCCTCAAGGTCACACCTGTGCCTTCTCTTCCTAGGGTTTTGCCTACAACCCCCAGCAGACATTCACCTGTTCACACTCAGATTGTTTCTTGATGAACAGATGAGACTGGCCGCAGGAAGAGTGCCCGAGGTTGCAGGGCGGAGCGGGGAGTTGATAGTAGACGATGGGAAACCGAGAAAGGCGCCGGATTGAAGGGTTGGTTAGAGGAGGGCGTCCAGATCTTGGCTCCACAGGCCAGCTGCCTCCCGACCGGCACAGAAAGGCTTCTTTCTTGCTTAGCGGCTTGTCCAGTGCAGTTTGGCCGGATGCTCTGGTCCTCCATGTCCTCACTCGGGACCCGTCTCTGGATCTTTGCTGTACCTCCAGCAGGTGACAGAGACATGCAGATCGCGCAGTGGCATTGAAAAACTTCCAGACGTGACACACGTCACTGCCACTGGCCTGTCACCAGCCAGAGCCTGTCACCTGGCTGGCTATGCCTCGCGTAGGGAAGCCAGGAAATGCACCCACCACGTGCCAGGAGGCAGGACAAGCAGAATGGTGGCTACAGTGTAATAAGGGAGTTTCGTTGTTTGTTTTCTGACCATCCAGGCGGTGTGCCAGCCTGTCCTTCGACGAGCAGCGCAGGAGTGCCCCGTGCGCACATCCCTGGACTTGGAACTGGACCTGCAGGCCTCCCTCACCCGCCAGAGCCGCCTCAACGATGAGCTGCAGGCCCTGCGGGGCTTGAGGCAGAAGCTGGAGGAGCTGAAAGCTCAGGGGGAGACGGACCTCCCGCCAGGGGTGCTGGAAGATGAGAGGTTCCAGAAGCTCCTGAAACAAGCTGAGAAGCAGGTACGGATCTCAGGTGTCCTTTGTCTCGGGGGGGCTTACGTGGAGTCATCTTCCCAAAGCTGCCACGTAGGAGGTGCCAGCTTACACCCCAGTTCTGCTCAGCTCTTCAGATCCCTTTTTAAGAACTTGGAGCACATTTCTCTTACGGCCTTTTTTAAACCCAGGATATTGCTAAGAGCGGTACTGCCACCCCCAAGGTGCAGGTCAGAGGTCCCCACCGCTCCACCGCCCGCCCCCCATCCCGTAGCTGCTGCTCTGGGGCCACTGGCCTGGCCGGGGGAGCATGGCAGTGAGGGTAGTGTCATTTCTGCTCAGCATCCTTCTTTGTCTCTATATGNACCCGCCCCCCATCCCGTAGCAGCTGCTCTGGGGCCACTGGCCTGGCCGGGGGAGCATGGCAGTGAGGGTAGTGTCATTTCTGCTCAGCATCCTTCTTTGTCTCTATATGAGACTTGGCAAATAAATACAGTCTAACTTTTAACATAAGTGATAACTTATGTTTGAAATTTCTGAATGGGTTCAAGACTCATTAGCCACTCATCATTGTAGATGTATTGCTGATTTCTTAAATGTTTTTATTGATTTCAGAGAGAGGGAGGGAGAGGCAGAGATAGAAACATCAATGATGAGAGAATCATTGATCAGCTGCCTCCTGCACACCCCCTGCTGGTATCAAACCCACAACCCAGGCATGTGCCCTGACCGGGAATAGAACCAGTGACCTCCAGGTTCCTGGGTCAACGCTCAACCCTTGAACCACGCCAGCTGGGCTGTATGCTAGTTTCATGCTCCTGAGTTTCCACATTTTTTGTTGCCTTCAAGAAAAGTCGCACCTTACCCATTCCCCGTTGCTTTTTACCATACAAACAACTATATAAAATAGAATAAAAATCACTGACTTAAAAATAGGGTATTTTAAGGGACCATTTCTTTTATTCTGCCTCCTAAATATGACCAAAGATTTCAAGAACCTGTATATTGATGACATTAATTTATTTTCTCAAGATGAGGGTTTATATTTTAGTATGGGGCATATTTTACATCCATATGGAATATACAAATAGAGTTTCACATAGCTGAATTATTACAAATGCCAAAACATAATTTTCTTTCAACCCTTTTGTATAGAAATCTGAATTAGATTAATCACTTCTTTAAACTAATAGAAACTCTTGTCCATCACATAAACTTCCTTTGGGGCCCAAAGTTATTTTTAACCACATAGTGTATGGTGCTGACTGACTAGCACTGTTCATTCTCGATGGAACTCGGAAACTTAATGTGTGAATTTCAGGGGTCAAACTGATACCAATAATTTCTAAAGAAAGTTGAAGCAACAAAACGTATTACATATCTGTGGTATATCCCACCTGATAGAAAGAAACCTTCACACACAGTAGGGGCTCAGGAAGTGCCTGTTCAGTGGGGAGCTGAACTGTAGATCTTATATTTGACACTAAAGCTGATAATGGGATAATTAGACATGTCGGGCCCTTAAAGAACTCGTGGTTTGGTAAAGGAGATGAGCCAGATATCTGAGGAAGAGAAATCACTTCCTGGTGAGACCAGGAGAGGCTTCCTGGAGGAGGTGGCATTTAACCTGGTCTGGAAAGTGGGCAGTGGAACTTCATCCCAGGTGAGGGGTGCAGAGGCCCAGAAGGTGGGGGACCCAGCAGTAACAGCACAGGTCCAGGGGGGCTCATCGTGCCCTGTTGGGTGGGAAGGGGAGAGAGCGCCCGGAGGGCTGCTGTTTCTCCAAAGGAGCCTCGTGGTGCCTACAAAGCGGAAATCTCTGGTTCTCCCTCAGAGTGCCTCCCTGTGAAAACGCCAGAGCTCTCTGATGCTGCACTTTTTGAAAACTTAAAATAATACAGAGGTGAACCTTTTTAAAAGTTAGAATCTGCCAAGAAAATTCTGCATCAAAGGTAGGAATACGCCTCATTCAACAAAATAATCATGATTGGAACGAGGCGTTCGGCACTAAGGGCTACCTGCCTGCAAAGCTGGCCACTGTTGATTATTAGTGACGGACGAAACCTTACGGTGTGTTGTGTCACCCAGGGTTTTAGAGAAAGATGCAGGGGTAGGTACAGACATGAATATATAAACACTGGCCAGTGTAGACCTCAGCGAAGTATGTTCTCACTCGGCAGGAAAAGGAATATCTCCGTGAGTCCCAGTGTTGGTCTTGTTTGGTAGCAAACAAAGCCGAATTTCAAAGTGATTTTGCAGTAACCACAAAAACGCTGGTAGTTGAAAATACGAGCTTCCATGAGCAGCTTGGAGGGACGGCTTAGTGCTTCACGGGGGACACAATAGACACCCCAATTCCATTCATGTGGAGGAGACAAAAGACCAGGCGGATCCCTGGAGCTGCTGTATTTCTGGTTCTGATAAAACACATTTTCCTGGGGAAAGTGGGTCAGAGTTTCTTACCCGAGTATATCCAGCACCTGCCTTCCTTCTCTGGCTTTTACTGATCTGTCCGTTGTTCGTCTCGATGAGCAGGTGGCTGGTTTGAGGTTGGCCTGTCGTCGGTAACCAGGAACTGCAGTGGCTCAGTCCTTCGGCGTAACTGCTGACTCGCTCACTGGCTGGTCCTGGTCCTGGCAGAAGTCATTTCTTTGTGTTTACTGAGTTGGCGGTCCCTTTCCTGGGACCTAATGAAACGTCATCAGTTTACTAAATATAAGGCTTCACAAAGGAAATAAAATATCACATTTGTCCCCTTTGAATTTGAGTTACATAAATTCAGAAGCTCCAAGTGACAGCTAGACTTGCTCATCAATTACAAAATATTCAAGAGAGATTTATGACTTAACATATATAGAGCACTTTTCTAAAGAAAATCGTCCGAAACGGGAAGAGGAAAGGGAGGGGCGGTAAGAATTCTTTGTGGTGAAAGCCCTCAGAGGTGCGTGCAGGAGACCATCATGAGGAAGGAGGAGGGATGGCCCCTGGGGGGCTGGCCTTCCATGGGGTGGAGACCGCAGACTGTAACACGCATGTGCGCAGTGAGGGGACGTGGGCATCTAAAAGCAGGCGGTATCCCCATCTGGCAGAAATAAAAATCCGATTTACCTCACTTATGTTTGGGAGACAGTGAGACCTTTAAATGGGTCATTTGGCTTTGGCGTTTGTTTGGAAAGCTGCTCTAAGAAAAGGAATTCCAGGCAGAGTGTTGGGTGCTGGTACTGGGCATCGCCCCTCTTCACTTCCCCTCCTGGTTCTAACCGGGATGTTGGGGAAGCGTAGTGGCCCCAGCACCACCCTGGGAGCTGCCGTGGCCGTGGCTCACAGCCTGCTCCTCTCACTCGAAGTCTCACTGTCTGTTTTGTCCCTGCAGAGCTGCTCTGTGATGCGGTTTATTAAAATCTGCATCTCAGGGTCTTTTGTGTACATTTGCTCTCTGGTCCACCGCTCTATTCCTAGCTCCTAGTACAATGCCTAGCATATCGTTTAAGAAAAAAGAAAAAAAAGAAACAGTCACAGCGAAACACTGAAATAGTGGACTTAATGATGTGTTGGGTGCTGCTCTGAGTACTTTATGTGTATTAACTCACTTAAACGTGAAAACAGCCCTTTGAGGTAAGTACTTATTCCCAGTTTACAGATGAGGAAACTGGCATAGGGATGGCAAGCAGCCTCCCCGGACTCACCGAGCCAGTGAATGCCAGAGATGGAATTGAACCCAGGCAGCGAGGCTCCAGAGTTTTCGTGCTCTTCACTCTCTCACACCCCCTTTCTTCAGAAGGCAGTCCACAAATATTTGTTGATTGGATGGATGGACGGATGGATGAAAAGGGAACTTTTAATATAGTATTCATTATTCCACTGTAATTTTTAAATGCATTCATGCAAAATACCTGAATCCGTAGACAATAGCTCAGGTAATAAATTGTGATAAAGTCGCACAATGGAATATTCCGCAACAGTGAGTCAAACAGGTTACAACTGCACGCGCTAGCGTGTCTGATTCTCATAAGCGTAACGCTGAGCAGATGGTGTCAGACCCTGAAGAGTGCCTGCTGTCCTGTTGCATTTCTGTAAACAAAGTGTGCAAAAGTGGCCCATTCTGTTAGAAGCCAGTGCTAGTGACCCTCAGACCCGTTGCTGAAGGGAGCTNGAACAAAACGGGCAAAAGTGGCCCATTCTGTTAGAAGCCAGTGCTAGTGACCCTCAGACCCGTTGCTGAAGGGAGCTTGGGGGGCGCCTGGAATGGGGCTGTTCTGTTTCTTCATCTAGTGCTGGTGACCTGTGTGTGTTCAGTCTGTAGGAGTTCTCTGAGCCGTACATCCCTGGGCGCCTTTTTGGTATGTAAATTCCACTGCAATAAACAGCTTTTAAATGACTAAGAAAAAAGGGTTGAAAAGATGAATAAGGGGCTGAAGGTGTATTTCCCAAAATGTCGACAGCCGGCATTCCTTGGACACGGTGCTGTAGCAGTTTTTAGTTTCCTTCTTGAGGGTTCTTGGGTCTTCCCGGTGTCATAACCGGGTCACGTGCTGCCTGCGTAATGAGGTGTTTTCAGCGCAATGAGATACACTGTCCCCTGCTCAGTGCCGTTGCACCTCGCCTGGGTTTGGTGCACGGGTGCTGTCCCCAGCGGGGAGGAGACACCGCCTCATCGGCAGCCGAGGTGCCCTCCTGGCTTAGTCTGCCTTGAAGCCCGATAGCGTGTTTCTGGGCACCTCTACTTAGTGTTTTGTGGGGTTTTGTGTTTTTATTTTCTTTGCCAGGCTGAACAGTCCAAAGAGGAACAGAAGCAAGATTTGAATGCGGAGAAGTTGATGAGACAAGTCTCCAAGGACGTGTGTCGGCTCCGGGAGCAGAGCCGGAAGGTGCCTCGGCAGGTGCAGTCCTTCAGGTAGGCGGCCCCGCCCGCGTCACCCTCGGGTTGTCCCTGTGCTCGTGCTCTCTGAATTACAAGGGCGTTCGCCCTGGAGTGGGCTGGCCGTTATCAGGGTGACAGACGCCAAATCCTCTCCCCCAGACGAGGCTGCGCTTGCTGCTTCCTGAGGGTGCAAACCCCACTGCAGCAGCCTGGCTCCCAAGGAGCCCACGTGTCCCTGCTCTTAGAAGCAGTTACCAAATGGGTCGGACATTCCAGAAAATGTGAAAAGACAGCCAGGACAGGAGGCCCGGTGGGTGCCGACCATTGAGGGGCTCGCTGGCAGCTGAAAAGATGTGAGGAGGAAGGGTCGAAATATGAAAGGAGAGCCAGGAGAGAGCGTGGGCCCCGGCTGGAGGGAGGGGAGGCTGTTAATACTGGCACACGCGTCGGGGAGAAGAGGGTCAAAATCACCGCCCCCAACTGAGCCATCAGGAGGCCACTGGTGACCATCCGGTCAGGAGGCCACTGGTGACCATCCGGTCAGGAGGCCACTGGTGACCATCCGGTCAGGAGGCCACTGGTGACCATCCATGGCTGTTTCTGGCGAGTGAGAGGAGGCCACAGAAAGGGTGGTTTTATCAGTTGATTGTGGGATTGGGTCTGGACGCATGTGTTTGTGTCGTACGGAGGAGTCTGTGGAGTGCTGTGGGCAGGAGGAGATGTGGGGACCAACGATGGGATTCGGACCTGGGTGCCGGGAGGCCAGAGGAGGGAGCTGGAGTCGGTGCCGACTGGATGAGCCCCGCACGGAGGGAAAGGAAGCCGAGCCAGCAGGGGCTTCAGACCCTGGAAGAGCTGGCAGTTTATAGGAAAGAGCCAGGTTTCTCTTGCCTCCACGATGCTGCAGAATCACTCTCATCATTTAGAGAAAGCTGCTCCCCGGGTTTTTACAGCTCCGGGCTGGGAGAGGGATCTTCCCATGCCTCTGGTGCTGTGGTCACTGTGAGGTTGTCCAGCATGGCTGCTGCTAGAACCCAGAATAGAGATTTATAATCACCCCTGTGTCCCTTAACATCAAACCCATTTACCTCCCCGGGCAGGTGATAAAGATGAGTGAGATGGCCCGGCCTGGGCGGCGAGAGTGGGGGGCTGGGGGGCTCTGTCTGACACACAGGCAGGTGCACCCAGCTGCTTGGTTCACTTGGAATCAGGAGCCCCGTGTCCCTGGCCTTCGGTTTGTCGGGGAAGTGAGCAATGAGGAATTTTATGCGCAATGTCTCAAACTGGACACTGGCAGCTAATTTGAGCATTTAGATAACAGCGTGTGGGCCTAAGCCGCCCACCTGCAGGAAGTGGCCCGGCAGGGTCCCCGGCTTCCAGCCCTGCCTTCCTGGCCTTCAGGGACATCGCGGCCACTCCCACGTGCCTTCCTAGTTCTTGCCTGTATCTCGTATGGAACTCGACCGATCACAAGGACACTAGCACAGAAGTAACTCTCGCCCCGAGTCCCTCCCTTTCCTTCTGTCTTTTCCGTGGTCTTTCCCACCTCGGCTCTTGCTTCTGCCCCACGCTCCCGCCCCGTCTGCGCGGCTCCGCTCTCGGGCAGGTCGGTGCCTCATCCTCTCGGCTCCCAGGCGTCCGCGGACGGGACACGCGCTCAGTAAGCGTGTGCTGCTGGGACAGCATGTGCAGGGTGAAGGTTTTGTAGAAAAAATGGACGCATTGCTCCTGTTCCTGGCGCCTGTACTGTCCTAGAGCCTTAGTTTCACCCTGGTCCCAGCCCCTGAACAACCAGCCGCTTTCTCCTCAGCTCCTCCCTTTCAGCTGCTCCTGCTTGTCCCTGCTCTGGACACAGGACAGACTTACCTTTATGACAGGAGGGCCCCTCCCTTCCTCCGAGTCACGGTACTGTTCCTGAGCTACGAAAGCCTGATCTCTGCGTTTTCCTGGTATCACATGGTGTTCCATGAGGTTCCTGAGAAGTTTCCTAGGGCTTCGGCCCTCTGAGCCCTCCCCTACCTGGGTTAGACACACTCTTGCCTGGGCTGACCCCCGATGGCTTGAAAACGGCCTTACGTTGGAAATGCGGCAAGGAAGGCACTGTTGGGTCTGCAGGTGACGGGTGGGAGCCAGAGCTGCCGTGTCCTTCGCATCTGCTGTGAAGGGCAGAGGCCCTCTTGATTTTTTTTTTTTAATATGTTTTGATTTTTAGAGAGGAAGAGAGAGGGAGATAGAGGAAGAGAAACATCAATGATGAGAGTCATTGATCTGCCTCCTGCACGCCCACACTGGGGATGGAGCCGGCAGCCCCGGCGTGTGCCCTGGCCGGGAATGGACCCTGTGACCTCTTGGTTACTGGGACGACACTCAGTCCACTGAGCCACACTGGCCAGGTGGCCCTCCTGATTTTAAGTGAGATCGCCCTTAGGAAAAGAGCTCCTGTCCGGGCTCATGGGGTGCCGCTGGAGGTCCCGGGGCTATTTCTAGCGGTCGCAGAGTCCTCTCAGCATCGTGTTGACGTGGATTCCTCCTCACCTGGTTCCAGGGAGAAGATCGCCTACTTCACCAGAGCGAAGATCAGCATCCCTTCCCTGCCGGCCGATGACGTGTGACTCGTCGCCGAAGAGCCGAGCGTCTCACCTGGTCATTTCTTTGAGAGGAAGAGACTGAACTTTGGTGTGGTGGGTTTGTTTGGGGAGGGGTGTACTATAACTGTCAACTCTTAAAGAGCTTTTATTTCACATCAGAATTTCAACATGTTCATTGATAAAGTATCTTGAATGTAATTCTTACATAAAAAAAGCAAAAAAAGTCAGGTAACCACAACGGGATAATCTGGTACACAGAGACGTTTGTTGCACAGCATGTGTGTAGCCAGTGGGCTGTGGAACCGAGGCAGAGCCAGGGTGCGTCCCTTGAGCCGACTTGCAGAGGAACTCACAGAAGGTGGCCTTTGCTACCCTGGTTTTCCTGCCAGGAGCCCGGGGAGCTGGCACGGGCGCCCTGGGGGGTCTTGCACTCGAGCAGCTCTTGCTGCAGGAAGGTCAGCGTGAGCACGAGCTTCGGTGAGGAGCCCGGAGCCCGCCTGAAATGGGCTGTGTTCATTTCCGTCACCCGTGTGGGAACACTTTGTTTCCTTAAAACAGTCTTTTTTTGTTCTTTTTTTGTTTGTCTAAAGAAAACAAAAACAAAATGCTGAGTTCAAGCACATAAGAATGCAAATACGGGAGCGGGCTCCCGGCTGCACTACAGACCCTGCGCCTAGGACACAGGGCAGGGAGGAGAGAGCCGCCTGCGGCCACGAGCACAAGCTCACCCCAGCCACCTGAGCGAGGTGGGCATCGGGTGTGACTCCCCCGACCTGAGCGAGGGTGGGCATCAGGTGTGAGTGAGTCTGGCTCCCCCGACCTGAGCGAGGTGGGCATCGGGTGTGAGTCTGGCTCCCCCGACCTGAGCGAGGTGGGCATCGGGTGTGAGTCTGGCTCCCCTGACCTGAGCGAGGGTGGGCATCGGGTGTGAGTCTGGCTCCCCTGACCTAAGCAAGGGTGGGCATCGGTGTGAGTGAGTCTGGCTCCCCTGACCTGAGGGAGGGTGGGCATCGGGTGTGAGTCTGGCTCGCACAGTGATGTTCCGTCCGAGGCGTGAGGATGGTGTTGACTAGAGAACGTGGTGACCCGCCTTCTAAGGACAGACATTCTGATGATGTGGAGGGAGACGCGTCAGCACACACCTGGTGAAACCAGCAACAGAGGAAAGGGTATCTTGAATGAATCAAAGTTGCCAAAAAAAAAAAAAAATTTAATCCTTTATTAAACAGATTTGTACCATTTAGTGGCAATTACTTTGCAGCTCTCATTTAGGGGATCCTGTCGATAATTTATGGTAAGAAGTTGGGAGTCGGAGAGACTATTAATCTGAAGTATAAGCTGAGTCATTTGTCTCAAACAAAAGCCACTGCAGATGAGCAAGTTTAGAGCTTGACCCAACTGAAGCGCCTTCCAGTGCAGGGTTTTAGCTCATCCAGCTCAAGCGCTTCCTTAAGGAAACAAACCCCAGTGTAGCTCTGCCCTCATAAAGGCTTTTAAAGTGAACAGTTCTATGCAATTCAAATCATGCTTATTAGTCTCTAATACTGGAAGAGGCCGTTTTTGGTGAGCCGTCTTTTATAGCAAACGAAATCCTTTTTTTTAGAAATGCAAAAACCATCTTAAAGGAATGGGCCCCTTTAACACACACACACAAGTTCTGTTTCTAAGACAGAATCCTCATTAGCAAGAATTTTTATCTTCTTGAAAGTAATCACACATCTTTTAGAAAATGCATTTGATCAGAATCAGAATTCAGAGGAAGCCATGTCTGAGCCTAGACCTTTGTTTCTAAGTGTCCACCACGTCTGTACAAGCGTCTCGGAAGCTGTAACCGGACGTGACACTACTTTGCGCAGAGACCAGCCTTGTGAGTCGACTGCACGCAGCCCCTCGGGGCTGTCCCAGCTCATTCTCTCAGATGACAGGAAAACCAGAAAAAGACCATTCATCCTTGTCAAGGTCAAATGTGAAAGACAGAAGTTTATTTAATGCAGAGTGAGATGAAGGTCAGCTGTTGTCAGCTTCTTAGTTTGACCGTGAAAATGTTTATAGAACTATGTGTAGTTGTACCGTACGATTTTATTTTCTTCATTTATTTATTTACGGTCTTATTTATGTTCTGTTTAATATATAGTTCGGTTCTGGCCATTTTAAATGTTTGACATAGAAGAGGCTCTATTGGAATATTTACAGCTTTATAAATCTTCAGCATATTAGCTGTTAACTTTTTGCGATACAAAAAGTTATTCCGACAAGTGTAAAGGAAGGAAATCTGTCTCAGGCTGGTAGTTAACAGCTGTGACCAAGAAGCTTGCAGTTTTATTTTACAAAATTTGCTCATTTCTAACGTGAGAGATAAACTTATTTTAATATACTCTTTTTCCACACTTTAAAAATCAGCAATAGTGTTATGTATTTATAGGCAGCTTTTAACAATCCTGTCGTATTTGTACTAACCCGGATGATTCACAGTGACAAAACAGTTTAATAACTTGATCACAAACCCACATGGACAATATGAATTTTAATATTATAAATGCTATTTTTTAAAGGTAGAATTTATTCGGCACAGGGTAAAAAGAATGTAATATTTAGTTCTCAAGTTTGAATTATCAATACATTACTACAATTTTGTATATCGGAATCTAAGTGTTACAGGTACAAAAAGCATATTGCTAGCCAAGTGAACAAAGTTTAGCTGAATCTCTATCGCATGGAAATCAAATAAATTTAAAATCTTTTTTTTTTTTTTTTTTTGCTATTACTTTATATTGTATTAAATATCAAAAGCTCAGGACTGAACTAAATATTTAATCAGGTTAAATTCTAAATATGTTTCTGTTTTAATCTGTCTTGTTTGTAAAAGTGTGCAAATACATCACATAGATTAACTCGTTTCTGCACTTTTCATGTGTTTGTGGGTGGAAAAAATTCAGTGGTTTTTTTTTTTTCCAACAAAGATACATATTGCCTAAGATTTTATTTGTGTCGTTTGTTGTTCAGGTAATTTCCCTGATTGGTTCAAGCGCAAGAGTTTATTTGAGCTGTGTACTGAGCAAATATAAAAATCTTCGTGAAGAATTTCCCAAGCTCCCCTAGCCAGTTTGGCTCAGTGGTTAGAGCATCGGCCCACAGACTGAAGGGTTGTGGGTTTGATTCCAGTCAAGGGCACGTTCCTCCATTGCAGGCTGGATCCCTGCCTCCGGTCGGGACCATGCAGGAGGCAACCAATCAATGTGTCTCTCTCTCACATCAATGTCTCTCTACCCCCGCCTCCTTTCCACTCTCTCTAAAAAATCAATGGAAAAATATCCTCTATTGAGGATTAACAAAAAAAACAAAAACAAAAAAAAGAATTCCCCAAGCCAGCAGTTTGTTGTGAATACTTCTTGGTTGTGCGATAAGTATTGCAGATTTAAATTTAAAAAAAAAAAAAAGGGCAGAATATTTTCATTGTACAAGTAAAACACAGGCTCTAGAATACGAGCTCTGTTAGTGCCCCCTGCCCTGGCAGTGTCTCTGCCGCCCACGCCAGCCAGCCCAGGAGGTTCTGTGCCCACACACCCAGACCTGACTGACCTGCAGTGCCCCCTGCAGGCGTGGCAGGAACGTTGGCCATCTGCAGAGCACAGGACACAGGTGCAAAAGCACGCCTGTGGGTAGATTTTATGTGAACCTTCCAAGACCGGCCTCCTCTGCTCCTGACGTGGTGCAGAGGCACGCCTGAGTGGCCCACTTATGGGAAGGGCTCCGTGGAGCCCTGAGGTCTCTGATTAAAGATGTGCTATGTCCACGTCTCTCACCTCTCAAGCATTCAAAGAGCAGCAATGTTTTTAGTATAATCCGATGTCATACATTTTAAATAACACAGCGAGACTGTTTCTGTGTAGTAGGTGATCTCAAACACGAGAGAAATGATGAGCAGTAACATTTCCGATTGCCAGTGACTCGTCTCTATGAACAACACCTTCAAGATACGTAAGTACCAACAGAACGTTTTATTTACCAGTTCTGTGCAATCACTGGATCTGTTTTAAAACTGAGAAAACTCATCTGCAGTAATGAGCATGATTACTATTAAGTCTCGATGGGTTTTGGTCTCAGAGTAGAACATAAAAGTGGTTTATCACCTTAGGAAGGAATCATAGTTTAAGGAGCCACAGGGGGGATTCATTTTAGAAAATCATAAGCACAGTGATTAGGTGACCGTGTAGCAGGAAACCCTACCCGGTCCAGGGTTGAGCAAGCATCTCGTGAGGACTGGACACCCCTGATCCCTCCCGGTTCAGGCTGTCAGGTGGGTGTTTGCCATCTCCAGGTGCTGATGGAGATACTGCGTTTCTGCCACCGTGTAGTGGCCCGAAGCCAGAGGAGCTTGGGTGGAGCAGGCGGCCCCGTTCAGCAGGCACCCCCCCAGGAGGAGGGCCGACCCGGCAAACCAGCCGATGAAGAGGGCTTCCCCAAACTCCCAGCGGGGCACAATCTCTGGGATGGTCTCGTCCCAGAACTCCCGCACGGTCACGTGGGCGACCCAGGACACCGGCACCAGGGCCGCCGCGCCTGCCATCCAGAGCAGGGCTCCTCCCAGGATCAGCAGTCGCTTCTTGCGCTCCCGCAGCCCCTCTCCGATTCTCAGGCAGTCCAGCCCAAACCCAGAGAGCAGCAGGCCCAGAAACCCCAGCCCGTTGGACAGGAACATTAAAATCCGGGAGACCCTGAGCTCGGCCGGCAGAGCCAGGAAAGAGTCGAAGTCCTTGCACTCCATCCCGCCTTCCTCCTGGATGACGCAGGCTTGCCAGAGTCCCATGGTCCAGTTTTCCATTTCATTTAATTCCAGGTTGAGGTTTTTCCAATGTGGCAGGTAGGTTGTAACAATGGACAAAACCCATCCCAGCAGAGATAATAACAGCCCAACAAGTTGCATTACTACTCTCAAGACTAACGCCATTGCAGCCGGCCTGGCGACCGGCCTCCCCTATGGGAGCGCTGGCCTTGGTGGCGGGCAGTGCTGTGGCGATGGTGGCTCGATGCTGCCTGGCATATAAGCTTTGGCCGTTCACTCCTTGGGCACTCTGAAATGTGTTTTTGTTCCTCTCGAATATAATATTTCATGTAAAGAACGAAGGGCTCTGTGAAAACTACGAGTTAGGCTTTCCGATAAGGGTTTGACCCGTTGCCTTCCGACTCGCTTGGTAAAATTATATCCCCAATGCCTGATGATTCTAAAGCTAAGGATGAACAAAGGAGCCTCTATGACCCCTCACCCTTAGGACAACAGAAATCTTTGTGCTTCAATATGGATTAATTAGATTTTAAGTGGTGATAAAAGGCCAGCTCTCTCTATAACAGGACCTCATTGTAGTAGCTGAATCTGAGATTTCAGGACGCAAAACAAGCCCTTGTAAAGACAGGCAGACCCTCCCTATAATCTTTGCTCTCCTCGGGCTTCCTCAACCTACACAGAGCCTGGCCCACGTTCCTGAGCGTCACGGGGACTTGGTCGCGACTTGGCAGGAGCATCGCCCTCAGATTCCTTTGAAAGGTAGATGCTGGTTCACTGGGTTAATTAAAACGAAGACGATGGAGGCTCGTGCCCGGAGCTACTCAGAGGAAGGGCTCGTCCTGGGAATCTCTCGATCTCCCTGGGAGTGCCCTCGGCCTCGTTAGGGACTCGGGGTAGAGCGTGGTTTCTCACTCCTCAGGAGATGTTTTCTGCCCAGAGCTAAGCTGTCTTTTGTCAGGAGACAAAGCAGCCTGGGCATGCAGACTCCCGCAGTTCAGGACAAAAGACTCTGGTCTGAAAACAGGAGCCACAATGGGCTGACCTTTGAGGCTTCATCTTGTTTGGTTTTTGATTCAGGCCACACCTTGAGAGCCAGGACTGGAGGCTGTGCCAGATTCCCAGGGCTGCCGCAGGCCCTGCGCGGGGCACCTGCTCCCAGGCCCCGGGCATCCAGCACCCGCAGCGAGGAGGCAGGACCTGATGAGCCTGCTGGGACCCTCAGAGAGCTACCCCCTGGGAAACCCAAGCTGGGGATCAGAACCACCGCCCGGCACAGGCCAGCTGGGGAGTCCAGTCCTGCATCCGAGATGACCCCTCATGGCATTACCCAGTAGGAGATCAGAGGCAGACCCCGTCCTGCTGTCTCCAAACTCAGCAGAAGGGTCCAACGAGATGGCTGGCGACTGCTTTGGCACCCTCCACCCTTTAAAGATGAATTCTTCTTAACTTAGAAGTGTGCGGAATCCCTTAGGACATACTGCTGTCGTCCGTGGGCTAAAATAAGAAATTGTTCCAGTTTGCGAAAAGACACAGGGTCCAGGAAGGACTAGAGATCTGCCCAGCGCCTCCTCACCAGGAGATGGGGTAACAGGGAGCCAGAGCTTCCCTTCTGGGTGGCGGCAGGGGGGAGAAAGCTCCCGAGAGCAGTTGCCAACAGTTACAGGGAGGCGACTCTTAATATCGCCTTGAAATGTCTTATTAAATATGGGATGGAACAGGCTGCTCTGTGAGGTAGTGAGCTCTCCATCCCAAAGGTGTTTTAGGGTGGTGCTCACCCCTTCGGGCTCTCATGGAAGAAGCTTCCGCAGTGCTGGCGGTGGACCCAGATAATCTTAAGTGCCCTCTTAACTCGCTTATTCTTTCAGCATTT